GGGGAGGGGGGGGGTACTCACTCACTGTCATGATCGTGCGTTCTTTATTCCGTTTCAAGTTAGTATAAGCTCTTATTTTCATATGGACGCGTTTATTCCCCTGAATTTCCTAAATGTCCACTGGACTGGTATGGTCACTATAAAACTGCCAAAATATAGGCGTTTTGTGCAAGTAGTAGGAGTGGATTATATTATTTTCGAATCAGCGGATCTAAAACAAACAAAGTTTATTAATAAACGAGCAATATATTCGTAATTAAAGCCTATTTGCCTGTTTGACTGCATTTAAACTAAGACGCAACTGACCATAATGTGTGTTTGATTGACGGGGCTGGTTTAGAGATGTGCTGCATACCTTGTTGGTATTTATACCTAGGCTTTCACAGCTGTATATCCCATATCATTCAGATAATGTTCAAGTGATGTTTTGCTACAGGATGACAACTTAGCATCCCAATTGTATTGCTTTAGGAGCGTACAGTGAAGGGAATATCATGAAAACCCAGTGATCTGACCAAAGACATTGTGGCGATTTGATAGACTAATGGTAGAGGACAGATCCAGTATAACTACGTAGTATAAGTATGCATACCAATGCAATTTACTGTTACACAACGCCGTACTCCCTTGGGCAAAATTAAAGGCTAACATCCCCGTTTCAATTTACCACTTCAAGGGAAAGATTCAGAACAGCGCCCTGGCCTGAATTTTGATCTTACAAACTGACCCCTGGAAACCACAACATTTTCTTTCATGCCCGAAATCTCTGAATTTAAATACTCGATCCCCACCATTAAAAGTGCCACCGACCCTCACATTGACTGCCTCTCTTGTTATAGAGCACAATTCAAATTAATTTAAAAGAGACAAACCTAGCTGTTATTACAGAATCGGGATTCTTGTCTCGACTCCAGGGACGTCTCAATTTCTTTTTCGCCCTATATATATCTTATTCAGTTGAATGGTCTTTATCGCAGCATCTATATTTAAGTTCATTAAAAACCACAAATCAAACGAATTGTGTGTACGCGCCGTAATGTACATGATCTTTGGATGGTTATTTTAAGTAATCCGATGTTGATAATTTCGAATCATATACATTATAGTAGATGTGCGTACATGGAAAGCATAAAAACAGACTAAAGGCATTTTCACGTCGATCATTATACCGTTTTATTTGCATCTCATCTGTAGCAAGTCCCGCATAACGCTATCTCAAAAATTGGTCACTTTATGACCCTTTAAAACACCGCTACAGATGTAGACACTCCAACCCAATCAGTCAAGTTCGATGTGAGAAAACTTTCAACCAAACATGAAAATGCGAGCCACATATATTTTGATTAATATCGGAATAAATATATGACACGTTCCATTACTTTCACTGGTTTATGTCATTGTACCCTCTAACAGGGAAAGCATTCAGCAGTTATTAAAAGTAATATGAAACATTAATAAAAACGTTATGCAAAACGTGAGCGGTTGTGATAAGTTAATTTACGCTCTCATCTTTCATATGAAAAAAAAATGACTATTTCTTACAAGAGTTCAGGGTGGGAGGGGGAGCATAAGGGCATAGCAACTATTATGTTATGAAATAAAGATTTGAAATAAAAAAGTCAAGTTGAGCCTTTCTACTGATATACTTTATCGTGTTTCGTGACTATCTAGCTTGGTCGGTTAAGAAGATATATACCCCCCGCCCACACTTACTTCAACCTGTAATAAGATTGGAAAGTCGGTAGTCTGGCTCGGGCAATAAAATCTCACTATCTCCACATCTGGTTTCTATCAAGCGCGTTCAGAGCTTCAGAGCTTAGGACAAATATATTGCTCCTCGGGCCAGGAAATCTAGGAGGGGTAGTAGAGGAACATGTCTTCTCAATATGGAAAGCTATATATTTTTGGTAATTTCCTTTGTAACATTTACAAACACTATAAAATATCCTATCTCGAATTAATATCATGTTCACACATTTCTGTAAATATCCTGAATTTAAATACTAATGTTAAATGTCAGAGACTTTGATTCATGACGAGAGAGAGAGAGAGGTTAAGACATTCTGTAAATGTCCCGAACTAGAGGAGAGTGCTATAAACTAAACCCATCTTGGCAATAACCCGTAGACAGTTAGCCTGCAGAGTGGTTTATAGTTATTATGATCAACATAATTGTTTATATTTTTAATAATATCAAACAATTTTACTGTTTGCAGCTATACCTGTTTGGAACCTGTACTCTGCGCCATTTAATAGCCATGGTGCAAAGTAGTGATATTGTAAAATCCTGCAATTAAATTTTATTAGATGGTTGAATACAACATCAGTAATAGAACAGTAATAGAATTCAGTATAATGATACTGAATTGTTGTAAAGACATGTCGGAAGCAGGGTGACCATATATGCTCGGAATATTATCCGTGAGGGAAATTTCTCGAGTTTGCTCACTGCCCTGTGAAGCCATATTTTGTGGCCTGAGATGCCGTATCCGTTACTTCGTGACCTGACCTGTCAAAAGCACGTCTGCGCACTCTTTACATCTTTCGATTCTTCCACATTAATCAAGATACGGAGTATTAATTACAATTGACCCGGGGGGGGGGGGCATGAAGGGAATAAATAATTATAAGTAGTATCCTTGCGACAGAAGGTTACTCTGCAATTTATATCTTTCAATTTATGCTGTGAAATAATAGCCAGCTAGTCCGTTGATCTCGCGAATCAACCAAATGATCGTTAGTTGAGTTGCTCAACTGCAAGTAATTAATCCCCTCCCCTCCCCCGAACGTCATACTGGCAGGTTTCCAAATGAAGACTATACCGCAGAAAAAGTTTGGGGCCCAAAAGAGAGTCAGCCAAGGACACGTTTGGGGTACACGTTAGAGCACGTCATGATGGACAGTAACAGGTGTAGGACCAGAACAGAGCCTCTGGTAAACAGTTTAGAACCAAGGGACCGAACTTGATTTAAGGACCAGAAGAGAGGCTTTACATAACGGTAACACTCACTTATTCAATATAGTTATCAGCAAATATTTTCTAACATCTTTTGAGATCAAGAATGCTGCATTAAAAGTGTAAATATTAGTGAGTCTACTAGTTGATATCGATGCACTTCCACAATCACTGCTTCAGTATATACTGTTTGCTTACAATAAAATGTCTTCTCAATATGCAAACTAAACACTCGGGCCTAAAGCAGCAAAACCTGCTGCCATGTGAATACAGTGCACACACTGCACATTCATATGAACAGAACAAAAAGATATAACCGTCTAACGTAATCAGGAAAGTGGGAATAATGCTGCAAAGCTGTATCACGTACTAAGGGTAGACACAAGAACCAATTACCGGTCTTAAATTGGTTCATTTCGGCACATAAAATTCATTTCAAAGGTGGATTTAGGGGAGGGGTCAGGGGGGACCTGACTCCCCCTTCGATTTCTGAAAAAATCACACCAATAGTCCCCTCTTGAAATTAGAACTTTAACTAGTTCTAAACAGTACCAAATGGTACCGTTTACCAAAATTTTCTAGGCCCCTCAGCATGGGGTAGGGAGTAGGGTCGACTTTGCATCCCCGGACCCCCCCCCTTCAAATAATCCCGGATCTGCCCCTGCATTTTGGGTATACATGTTAACTCTTGAAAGTTCTTAAGTTGACAAAAGTATATAACCAGTGGATCGACAGCATCAAGAGGGGGGTCGGGTCAAGCGTCACCCTTTCACCCTCTCCGCATTATATGTGCAAGGAAAATTCCACCATCGATACAAGGCATGTGGTACTGAAGATAGATATTCTGAACAAGGTAATTTTTAGACTCAACTATCTATGTATTGCACATGTATTATCTAGGGCACATGGCATGCCTTCCGCCGTCAATGGGCACAGTGGCACCAGTAATAAATGAGGAATCATCGGAAGCCAGAAAACTGATGCACTTGGCCACTTCATCCACTGTCCCAGGTCGTCCCAAGGCATGGGTGGTTTTGGTACGGGCGAGAAACTGAAATTTTATTTATAAAAAACAAAGTTAAATTGTGAATTAACAAAAAATGCCAAACCTTGTCTTTCATACAAAAATGGGGTACATCAGAATTCATAGACTGACCAATACTTTGTGTAAAACAGTAGTGAAGACTGGAATATTTGTCATACAGAATTTAAATACGAAAAAAAATTAATAAATGGTATAAGTCTATCAAAATAAAAGAAACACAAATAATCATTTTGATTCCTGGATGTAAATGCTATCTGTAGTAAAACTACATGTACAGAATGAAAATTAAATAAAAATATTTTTTGCTTTTCAAAATTACCTGAGCATACTGTTCTTCACTCATCCCTCCTCGTTTGTGAATCTCTGTCACAATAACTCCAGGACTGAAATTGTCATTCACACACTGAATGGCACACTTTTTCCAGAAAGAATCATAAACAAATTTGAATCCTAAACAGAACAGATTATCTCATTTACAGCAGAGCTATTTAACAACTTCTGACACCAATGTGTTTCTACATGTAGATTTACTCTACTCATTTAAATAAGGTAAACTGGTGACTGATAGTGTGGTTATTACTACAAGTAGATAAAGACAACACATCATTGGACTTACTTTACTGCATTGACTCTCACTTGCTTAGGTGCGAGCTCTGAAATAATAATAAATACTTTGAAATTTGAACGCATCTCCCTAATACCTTTTTGTCTCACACACTCCATTTCCTGACTGCTTAAATAACTTAAATCTTGGCCTCTGTCGGTACATTGTTCACTATTCTGTATGGGTCCTGCATGGTATTATATCTTACCCAGGGCAGCACACCTGGTGTATTGGTCTAATGCAGCCTTGGACATACAGTAAGACAGGACATTAGGAAACTGAAGTTAAGAAACAGTATTAACTATGTAAATAATGATACTGGTATTTATCAAGGAGAGCAATAGATTATTCCAATGAAAAAAAATTAGATTTTTAGAATATTTTTTGTTGTCAGTTTTCTTCTTTTATAAATTATTGTATATGTATATATTACTAGTCTATTGCTTTTAACTATCAATTGATACAGTATACACATCATTGAGTCTGAACAATGAATTTAATTTGCCCTGGTTAAACACAAAAAACAAATTATAATTTGATTGGCCAATTTAACAGACATGCCAACACATTCTTATTTATTTATGAAAAGGATTAATCTTTTCTACTCAGATCTGTTACTATAGTTTCTTACCGATCTCAGGCCAGTGACACTAGATACATTCACAATGGTTCCTAGGAAAAAAAATATCCAAATTTTAAAGATTATAATTTTCAATTGAGAACATAGAAAAAGATGTGTCTATTTCACATGTCTTAACAAATCTGGAACTATAACTAATCAACTTACCCTTAGTTTTAACAAGATGTGGTATAGCTAAACTACACAGATATACCACTGATCTGCAGTTGATGTTCATCATGGTGTCGTAGTCCTCAATTTTGATATTTTCACAGTTATGGTTGATCACAATGCCTGCACTGTTCACCTAATGAGCAGAAATAAGGATGTTAACTAGCTAGCTGAGGCTGACAAATGTACAGGCCACCTATTCTCCCTTTTAATGTAAAGGAAGAATTTTTTTTTAATTGACCTGTAATTAAGCCCAAAGAAGTTTGGTACCAACATTAGCAAAAACAAGAGGAACATCATTAAAATATCTTTAAAACATTTAACACAAAGAATAATCTGATCATGCCATTTAGAAAAAAATACCATGAGACTTTGTTCTGTAATTCCCATAAATTAAGTAAATGTATTAACTGTACTGCAGGCTACAATTCCACTACCACCATATGAACCTCACTGCCTTTATTTACCAGTACGTCCAGCTGTCCATAATAATCAATTGTTTTTTCCACCAGCTCTCTCATTGCTGCATCATCAGTAACATCTCCTCCGACTATTAGGATCTGAAGAAATAAAAGGGTTAGTTTTTATATAGGCAGCTGAACCTGCATAAGCATGCAGAAACCGATATTTTTCATAATGCAAATGGTTATTCCCCCCATTTTTCCAAATTTATTTGTTCTGCATGTTAGAGAAAAGAAATAACTGGTTGAACATGCAAATGACAAGAACATTTTCTTCATCAGTCTAAATTTTTTAAAATTTAAAACCTAACTCATGACGTTTATATTTCACTGTTATGTCTGTATCAAACCTTCTCCTTAGCCAAGCCCTGTTCTTCACACATCTGAGCCGTCTTCTGCAAGTTGTCCATCTTTCGTCCACTTATGGTCAGCTTACAGCCCAGGCTTGCCATGTGGATGGCTGTACCTTGACCAATACCTGAACTAGCCCCTGGAAAAAAAATTGGAATAACTACAGTACATTGTAGTACAGTATATTAACTTACCGGATACTACCGGTAGTATGTGGAGCTCGAACGTTAACATATAATTTTATACGGTTTGATGCAGTATGGTTTGTGCTTCATCTTACATGTTCACATTTTATTTCCTTCAGTAATTAAAAAAAGATTTGAACATAAAATATCTCAGACACCCAATATTCAATAGACTTTTATCTTGCATTAATACAAATAGTTTGGTACCGATTTTTTGAAGCATTACATAAAAACACTAAACACTCACCAGTTATGATCACAACCTTATCCTTAAGAGATGCCATTTTGAGTTAGACTTTGAAAACACTGCTCAAACCTGTACCTGTATGAACATACACGTGTGCAATCACCGCCGTTCTGTTGACGGAAATGCTAAAAAGGGCGTTGGATAGCATCGGTTCATGGTTTTGATGAATGCGTTAGTTGTGATTATTGCAGTATTATATGCTTTATAAGGATTGATACTATTATTTCTATGAAAAAAAAAAAAAAAAAGCAACAAGAATAACAACAACAACAATAATAATAATGAAATAAAAAAGGTCACTCTGATCTTATTGTCTACACAAGGAAAAGGTGTGGTCATATTGAAGAAAGAAAGAAAGGCAGTTGTTCTTTATTCACGGAGGCAGCTATTATTATGGTGTTTCTTTTTCATTGGCTACATTGTCGATGAGATGGGTTAGAAGCATATGGTTTTTCATTTAATAAAATATCTGAAAATATAAAGTATATAAAGTATTTTTGCTCTCTCTTTAATCTATTCATTATTTTGCTACCTCTCAAGTTCCTATGAAGTGATTTCTGTACCTTGTTGTAGGCCTACATTTAGTTGTGCAGCATTATCTTGGGCCTTGCTACTGTATGCATATTCGAAGATCATATATAACAAAATACCTAAAGAAAATCCTAAACGCCCACGCACCGATATGAGGTAGGCCTATTCCCGGCACTACAACTCGTCCTTCCTGACACCGTTAACGTTAGGCCTCCCCGTCTACTCCCCGTCCCAACATTGTTATCCCATGAAATGTCAATCAAAATTGGTGAGTATTTTTTAAAGTCCAGGTAGTTTTTAATTAGATATTTAAAAATATTTTCTTTGGGTTGTTCTGTGCACATTTCTTATACTGTGTGAGTGAGAATTTTTTAACTAAATGATGCCATCTCTCAGCTGCCCGGCTCTGGTAGAGAGCACTGTTTTTCAATCATGATAAAATCCCCACTGGAGCATTATTGAGTAATAAAGTATATTCGTTATGCAAGCAGATTGCCAAAACCCGACAAATTTTTATTGATTTTACGACAAATTATTTCTCTTTAGCTCACTGCGATACTCTGCCAACCTGAATATAAGCGTTTCAAAGACAGAAATATTTTTCATTTTGTTTTTATATATTTGCAAAAGAAAACGCAATACGGGGGCTACTCAGACGTAGGATTTTTTTACATTAGTTAAAAGTATGCTTAGACGAAAAATGTTTCATCCGTTCAAAACTCATATAAGGAAATCCGTTTACTTCAACCTCCCCCCCCCCTTCGTATGTTATTGTATTAGAATTACATTGTACAGACTATATGCCTTTGCGGCACAGGTGAATGCCACGACTGTAAATCAAATATTTTTTATATCTCGGTAATAAAATAAAAGTAACGGTCCAATAAGTTGCTGCGATTTTTGTTGCACTAGATTTCGGTTCTTAATGACAACTCGGTGGGAAATGAAATGTGTAAGATGAAATTAAGGGTACTTTAAGGGTTTATTATCATCCAAATACCAAAAAGGAGCTTTTTTCCTGCATCTAATTATTCAATAATGCATCTACCTTTGTGCTGATTTAAAACAATAACAATCCCTTGGCCTTGAAATATATAAAATATCGGCGTTCTCGTTGCTATGTATAAGCATATATAGGCAACTCAAAGCTCTTATCGTCAATTTAACACCTTTCTATTTTGAGGTGAGATAGCAATCGGTATGGGGCGTAACTTCATCCCTGAACGAGATTTTATCACAAAAATCGGCAAAGTTGACCACAAGTCTATGGGCTATAATCCTGTGCCGTCAAACTACCATTTAAGGCTTTTAAGAAAAATCGCTGGCAAGGTTTTGCAGTACTAAATGTTGTTGAAACGGTTTGTGGGTGCTCAGTAAAGGGGAAATTTGAGACGCCGATTTTTTCGTTTTTACTCCAAAATCGCAATTATGACGTCACCCGTAAGATAACGCTTGTAAATGTTAATTAATTTCGTCACTGGACACCGAAGATTTAGCTTTTATCCAAAAGAATGTATGAGAGGCAGTAAGTCAGTTTTTTTTTTTTTTTGGTAAACGCTCTCAGTATCCTTAATCACACCACATTTGCCAGAATAAAAACTGCATGAAGTACATTGTTAGATTATGGCGGTCAAATAGTCTTGAAACTTGCTCACATCAAGGCGGATATGTCGAGGAAAAAAAGACCCAGATGTGGCATATACCCCTGTACATGTACACCAATCACACGCGGACGCACCTCCTGTATATGCGATTTCCACTAGGCCTACGTCAATTATGACATTCTGTGCAAAAATTCGCATAAAACAGAAAAGTTGCACAGAATTAGCCAAAGGCACTATATCCATATGTGGTTATATCCAGTAAAGAATCTCTTTGGCTTTGGTAGAAGGTTACACCATGCCCAAGTCTTTTGTTCTCCACCCCGCCGTGATATGTCGTAAGTCCGATACACCGTCTGTCAGATAGGTGTATGTGGCACCCACATGTTCTTAGCACTTGTTTATTATATACGCTTCGCTTATTCAAGGTGTATCGTCATGTACGGTGTATGTTACTAAGATATATGAAGTTGTCACATATACTCCGATGGTGTCTAGAGTTCCCTCTTTAAAGTCGCCAGCAATGCTATTGTGTTGCAGGTCGTGACTTCATGAATCTCGAGACTGTCTGTAAGACGAACTATAACGTGCTATCATTTCTTACTAAAATGTGTATTGTACTAAAACACGGCGCTTTCAATATACGGTTCTGAAAATCATACTATTTCTGTCTTGGATGATTTTATTGTGCAGGCATTTGTAACCAGAAAACGTTTACCGTCAATTATAAGACAATTTGCAAACTAAGTGTCTTTTGTGTATTGTACTCGATTGCTCCAGACAATCAATCGTCTTGTGAAAAACGGTGTAGGCCTTTAATGCACTGCTTACTGCACACAGGATGTCGACCAAAACATCGATGATACATGTAGAACGCTGTTTTGCATTGATTGCTTACAAGGATGAATACGTTAAATGAAACGATCAAATGAAACTACAAGTGTAGTAATGAGATGTAGTCCTTGGGGAGGTTTGGTTAACGTCTCAGACATCGCAAGAAATTGGTTAGAAACTAAATTCTGTAACACCGCCAAAATTCTACTTCTAAATTGCAAGCTGTCATGAAGTGTCAGATATAAATCTCCTTTACAGTGTGAGAGATTGGGTTTGTGCCGCCGAGAGAGAGAGAGAGAGAGAGAGAGAGAGAGAGAGAGAGAGAGAGAGAGTAGTCGGTCCAGCTGTCACTAAGGACACAAGGATATTAGTAGGCCTACATAAAGCCACCATAATTAAAACGAACTCTTTAATTCTTGAAGTCATTATCGTTTGCCGTACGGTGCACAAAACTTTCGTGATTATGCAATGTGGCCATTATTATATACTTATGATACCAATTGACCTAGGTCCATCATGTAAACTATGGACTCTCCTAGAGAGAAATATCGAATTAAAGAAGTAGCAAGCCTCGGTAGACTGTGAGCTAAATGAAATGTCACAAAGTATAACAATGGAGGCCTTATCTTTAAGACAATATTGACGCAAAATTACATTTATGAAACAACAATGATACGGAACGTTCGTAAATGGAATTAAATCCAGGAGTGCTGAATCAAGTCAAATCAATATATAATAAAATACAAAGAATGATATTCCTTAAAAGTCTAAACTTCCATTATGTTCAATGTTCTTCACAATATGAATATAAAATACAAGTAAAAGAAGAGGAGAAATTTTGATTAAGAGAAATAGAATTATATTATGTAGAATTAAAAATCCGTTATTTCAACAAGTCCATTAAAAAGTCACTGAAATTTTAAAATCATTAAATTTCAATTATAAATTTCAAAGCAAAAATATGTTGAAATTAATTTTTGAAACTTTCCAAAGAGGCTGTACTGCTATATGTACAATTTGCACTTTCATGTTTCAACTTTTGTTCAATTGAAATACCAGGGAAATCTCTGTCTTGTTAATGGATTTGTCTCACGGGGCACAGGTAGCGATGGCAACCGTCTGGGGAGATTTGCTTTTGTCACTCAGCATAGTGCCGGAAATGGTAAACCGATTACTGACTAACTTAAGGAGGAAAAAGGGCTATATACCGAAAACGTGTGATCCGAAATTTTATAAGTTCTTTTTCTCCTATAAAGGACTAAAAATCAACATAGCGGCCATAGGATGTGTATAAAGACGTGTTTTAGAACATTTGCCTTACTGAAAGAAACACTGGTCGGTTCACTATGGCGGGAGTCTGGTACCATGCTCCTACCAGTATTTTGAGGTCTTACTTGTCTTACACGTCTTCATATTAATCTCACATTTTAAGGCCCATTCACAATGAAACTGACGTTCTACATAGATCGAGCCAACTCGATTGAGTGCATCAGATTAAAAGATTAACACGCGTCCTCTTGTTTCCAACGTACTCGTATCACCACTAGCTTTTCTGTATTCTACTCTACTCAACGCCAGGAAGAGGGGTGTTAGGGTGCATTCCCAGAGATTTAGGTCGACCCAGAGATTTAGATTTAGAGCGACCTAACTCCCTGGGGGGTTCACGCTAAATTACACTCAGCCGAGCGCGCACCATAGTTAATTGCCCCCTTACAGCTTTTAGTAGGCGGGACAGACGCTTAAGCCGGCTAAGCTGACAGTAATCTAGTGAAACTCCCCACAGAGTTAGATCGATCTAAAATCTATGGGAATAGGGTCTTACCTGTTCATCTGATTACATTCATTGAAAGTCCAATATAACGACAGTTTCACTGGGAATGGGCCCTCGAAAAAAGACATATATATGCCATATAATATATACATTTAAAATCAAGTTATTTAGAATAGAAATATACGCCATATAAAATAAAAAAATAATGTTATTTTAAATAGAATAAATATTTCAATGAATTATGACGATGGCAAGTATTTCATTGGTCATTGACATTGCTTTGATCACCAATGTTATCTAACTAACTGCAGTTACAGTGCCTGCGTGGCTATAAGTTCTGATCTCTTATTCAGTTATTTCTTCTGTAAACCATGGTGATATG